CCATGGGAGAAAAGCCAGGCTCCCCTGGCTGCGGGGCCCAGGGCTTCTCTGGGATGCCGGTGCCCAGCCTGGAGGGAGAGGACGTCAGCGGGTCCTGCCACCCAGGGTGCTCTGTGTGTGGACAGGAGGCTGAGTGGAAGCCCGGAGGGGTTTTAAAGTATTGTCTTCCTTTCCTCCCCTATCCCAAACTCAAAAACTTAGACTAAAGTGAAGGGCCATAACATGGGCTACAGACAGCACTCTGTCAGCTAGTTCAGAAACTTGGGCCTTCCTTAGTAACGGTGTGTTAATTTAATTCTCCCTGAGGTTAGAGTATCGTGGAGCAGGCACGGGAGACAAAAGCTCAAGTCGCTGTGTGACCTGTTGTTTGTTACTCATGTTTGGCTCCTAGCAGCTAGGAAGTTCTCTACAATCGAAGTCCGGATTTTGACTAGGTTGAGTTGAAAGTTTCACAAGTGCAAAAAAATGAGGTTCACAAATGTCTGAGCCTCCTGACTAAGTTAACCGTGTCCATTAACGAGTACTAGGAATGAGTCATCCTGAATACATTTGCATGTGGGAAACTTCATTATATTTCTGAATTCTCTGTGGCAAATCGGGCACTAATTACGATGAAGGAAAACTTGGTCATTAAGGCAATGTTGACTTTCCTTTTCAAGATAGAATGTAATCTGAAGCAAAGGGAGTGCCTTGGCTAACCAGGCGCCCTGCTGTTCCTGACAGTTAACATATTATGCAAAGCTACATTTCAAGTTCATTTCCTGGACCTTGGCATTTCAGTTTGGAGTTTAAAGGATCTGACAGTGCACACACACACACACACACACACACACACACACACACACACCATCCGTGACTTTAGCTCTCATTTTCTTTCCTCCTTAGCTGTAGTCTTTAAATCCAATAGCATTGTAAAAAATAAGAATAAATCGTATCTGCTAGTGAAGCATAATGCATATGGCGAACGTTTCAGCCGTATTTGTCCCTGGTGATGGAATGTGACCATGGTAGTCGTTTACAAGGTAATACCGTGTCAAAGACTGGGTCTTAGCAAGGCCTTGCTACGTATCTGTACAGAGCAGGTGCCATGGGGGGCACTCTGTGGGAAACCTCAGTTTTATGAAGGCACCGTGAGGACGAAATGAAAATAAGGCTGGATCATCACCTGGCACACGCAGTGTAGCAAGGGCCCCATCTGTTTCTCTTCCTCCCCCTCCCCACTGAGCCACACCCCAGCCATGTTTCTTTTTAAGTGCTGCTAACTTTGCAAAATGCAAGCATATTCCTGGGTTGTAACCATGCACGTATTAGGTGTATGTGAAAGATTAGTCCTTGAAATAGAAAATAAGGGGAATTTCTGCTCAGAGAGCTAAGCTTTCTCCATGGCTATTAACTCAAATTCTGTGCACCACAGTGGCCTGGAGAGAAGGAACAGTCAGAGTTGGTGTCTGTCAGACCTTCCTCTGCATGCACAGAGTCATCTCCAATTAAGGCAGCGGCAGAGGTGAACTAATTGAGGGAGTAGTTGACAAGGCCTGTGAGTGGGCTGGAAACAGGAAGTGGCAAGCCCAGAAGCTGTTCCCCTTGTCCTAGGGCTCTCATTAAAGTCAGAGGGCCTGTCACCTCCCTGTTCCTACACAGATCTGCTTTATGGGTCCATTTTAGGCCAGCCTGAAGTGACCTCATGCTTACGTACTCTGTCCGTGTCATTGTTTCCGGTGTGTGGGGGGGATTTGATTGGTCAGCTAAGATCAGGGGCAAGTGCTTCGTGCAATCAGTGGAAACCATAGGCTTCATTCACCATTCAGCTCAGGGCAGCCAATCAGCGCTTCCCTTGCCTGAGCCCTGTCTCCTGCCCACCACCCTTTTTAAAATTTTTATGTTTTGCAATATGTTTACAGTACACAGCGATTACATTCACCCCGGTCATCCCCCAAGCCCCTTCCGTGTCATGACACGCCCCTTAGCTTGTCTTGTCCAGTTGTTATGGATGATACTGGGTGTGTGTGTTGCGTGTTGTCTGTCCAGTCCTCTGATGGTGAGCATGTATGCAGTGTGATCAAAAGCTATGGTGAATATTTAACTTTTTAAAATGCTTTATTACAGTAAAAGACATTCCTGTGAGTCCTTTTCAAAAATACTCCTGCTTGCTTTGGACCCACTTATCCCATCGTCCTTGCTCCAGAGCAGATCTGGAAGTCCTCTTGTGTGTCTTTTCTTGACTGTCTCTGTGTCCTGAATTGATTCAAAATGTTTACAGCACCATCTGTCAAAAACAGTACAGTGTGTTCTCATCCACCTGATTCCCCTGTACTAGCGTTGTCTGCCTTCGGGCTCTTCCCCAAAGTCCAAATGACCAGGAACGGTCAACATTTTGAATCTATTCAGGCAGTCACAGTAACCAAGTAGAGATGCTCATGGAAGAGGGCTTCCGGAAGCGCTTCAGAAGTGCGAGAGTGATAGGGTAGGTGTGGAGAGGAGAGGAGAGAAGGGGGGGGGAGAACATTAACTGTGTTTTAGACTAAACACGTATCTTTGTTCCAAAATACACCTTAAGGACCTTACGAACTCAAGAACGGTGCGTTGTACTTGTCACCCCCTGGTGCCTGGCACTGTGCTCGCCCAGTGTTCCTGCTCCCAATACTTTCTTCTCACTCTGTCGGATCGCAGGGTGTCGGACCCTAGGGCCAGCCGTTCCCATGTCTGCTCCCTGAACTAAATGATGTCTCAGCAGCAAGCTGGCCTCGGGAAGGGCACCATGTGTGAAGAGATGGCTACTCTGCAGCAATCGTTTTCGGAGCGACTGAATGACATAAAGCAAGAGGAGTGTCATTTGGAACTGAAGAGCTGTGCACAGGAAGTCAGGGAAAACAGATTAGCCCTCCCGTTTCTGTTTTCATACTTACCTACCACCACGATGACCCTGAACAAGAAATGGAGATTTGGTTTTTATTTTCTTCAAGGGTTATTGCCTTCTGCAATGGCAAATGACAACTCATCAGATGTACTGCGCCTGCCATAGGATTCAGAGATGACCAAACACGAGATGCAGCAAATGGAACCACATCGCTCCAAGGAATATTATTTCTTTACCGTCTCCTAAGCGGGATACGTCTCATTTTTTAAAGTTAGGAATGGGAACATCTTAACTAGATATTTCTGCTGAGCATAGTAAGTAGGAAGCTACTTAATGGGTGACCACATGAAATTATCTAAATTTGAGTGAGCTAAGCAGTGAGTTAGGGCTGATTTTCCTGGTCAAATAATAGTTGTTATTAAAGAATGCCGAAGCCAGATCCCCATGATGGAAGCGGACTTTGTGAAAAATAAACCTGGGAATAAACTACTTGGGAACCTTACTCAGAAAAAATAACCAAAAGAGACAATTTGCCTATTAATGGGTGTTCTTTCTGTCCATAATTTTGGCTTGTAATTGGCTGAGTTTCCTGCGGAACATCCGGGCATCTCCCCAAAGCCACACCTCTTAAGGGACACAGAAAGGAAAGAAATGACCTTACTCCTGTTTCCCTTAATGGGCGGAGGCTAAGAAGTATCCCGAGGAGTGGGTGTCCAAGTAAGAAACAGTGCTACTGCAGAGGGGGTCTCTTTGTACTTTTATCAAGAAAGAGGGGGAGAAACTGGTCATCCCATCCTCAGAGTGGTCTCCAGAGTATTGGGCACACTTGTGGCATCCTTCAAAAGAACAGAGCCAAAGCCACGAGGAAGAACTTGCTATAGAATTTTCAGGGTCTCCTGTTCAAAAAAAAAAAATGGGTAGGAATTTCCAGCCAGCCACAGCAGAGCGTAAAACAAAGCACAGACACTCCAGAAAGCAGAACTCTGAGGGACTGCAGTGGTTGCACCCCTGGAAGTTGGGCCCATGGGGGCCTCAGCACTCGACTTCAAACTGCACTGGCAGCCTTGGGAAGGATGAGAGGAAATCAGAAGATGCAGCTGACCCACAGACAGCCACTGCCATGACTGCATAGGTAACTGGGGCGAAATTCAGTTAGGTGCCTGTGAATGGGTTAAGTTATTATAGTTATTTGTGCTGATTAGCAAGGTAATAAGCAAAGCTGGAAATAATCTTACTTACTGGAATTCTGCCTCAAAATAAAAATATTCAACAGTGACATAAATATTTCCCTTCAGCATCTTAGCTTACTGATTGTGGAAACAGGCTGCTATCAGCCTTTGAAAGACTGGTTGTGTTCAAGTGACTGTGGTGTGAGTACACAGCCCATGTTGGGTGTAGAGAAATGTGCGCAGTCCCATCTGTTGCGATAACAACTGTGAGAATTGGTCTGGCAAAAGAAACTGATTTGCTGTCACTCTTTGCTGAGTTGCGTGCTAGTCCTCAACTCCCTGCTTGAGATGGTATTCAAGAGGTAGATGTCAGAGTTAGGGCTTGTGATTGATTAGAAGTTTCCTCAGAGCCTCTTGCTTTTTCAGAGGTTGAAAGGAGAGTGTGTGATTCATTGTGGTGGGAGCTAGGCCTGAGGGCACTAGGATTAGGAGTGGGAGTCACCCTGGCCTAAGTGGTCTAAATATGATAAAAGTGCAGGAACAATGCTGTTAAGGTCTCTTTGCTTTTTCTGTCTTCCATGGCCAGGAGCTGTTTCTCCTCTGCCACCCTGCCTTGGAGCCAGCTGGCTATGGACTGAAACCTCTCTAATCTGTGAGCAAATAAACCTTTTCCTCCTTTAAAGTTGGTTGCCGGGTATTTTGTCTCAGCAGCAAGAGGAAAGCAACTGACACATTCAGTGATTTCAAAAAAAAAAAAAAAAATCTTACCGGAATACTCAGGGACCATTTTTTTCTAGTCATTTCCGCAGCTGATACTTACCCACTGGGTCTTTGGTGGTTCCTCCTCTTCCGTCCTTCTGATGGACTTTTCCCCCCAGTTGCCTTATTCTCAGATTGGCAGAGATGACACTGAACGTATTTTCAGCATAACAAATGATTCTGTTTTCACACTGTCTTTACAATATCTTTTGCAGACCAGAAGCCCCAAACTGTCTCACAGCCCTCAACCTCCGAATTTGGGGGACCCCGCGGAGCACCTGTCAGAGACTTCCGGGGACTCCTTGGAAGCCATGTCTGAGGGCGAAGTACCAAGTCCGTTCTCCAGGGGCAGCCGCACTCGGGCGAGCCTTCCCGTGGTGAGGTCGACCAACCAGACGAAGGAGAGATCTCTGGGTAAGCGGCGGGCGGCTCTGCTGCGCCCTCCCGACTGCGAGTGTGTATGATTGTGCCTCTGAACGGATGCCCCGCGTTAAGATATTGCCTTGATCTTGATTTGTAAAAACAGTAGTCCTGAGGGACTTCATTGATTCGATACTGGGTCAGTCTTCATTGCATTGCTGTAACAGGACACCACGGTGGGGTGTGTGCAGTGCAGCAAAGGTGACTGAGAAGCAAGGAGAGAGAGAGAGGAAGGGACCGGCCCTAAAAACTCAGCTTCCGTCTCCTGTGCACGGATCGCCTCCTAAAGGCTCTCGTACCTCCCCAAACCGCCCCTGGCTGGTGACCCACCGTCCAGCATGTTGGCTTTGGGGCACATTTGAGATCTATGCCTTAGCAAATATCAGGCCTTGAGGGTTTGCTGAGCATCCGGTCCAATCCCAGCTGTCTGGGAGGCTGGGCGCATGCAGAGTTGGGCAGAATTAGCTGCTCCTCGCCTGGGTTCCTGGGACCGGAAGTGCTAGAGGACAGACAGCAGGATGAGCTTCACCTAACGCTCCAATATCCTCCACGATGGTTGTGGCGTGTGCCTGCGGGCTGACTTTTCATGGGCATTACTGCACTGGTCTGGTAGTCTGCTGGAGGACCACAGTGTGGGCCTCGCACCTGGTACTGTTTGTAAAAGCCATAAAAACAAGGCTGTTCTCCCACACCGGAGGAGAGGATGGGGGGCTTTGACATGTGCTGGGCACACTTTCCAAAGGCTGATAGGGCTCTTCCTTTTCACTTTACCATGTATGCTTGCTGTTTTGTACTGGAAATTCACCTTCTATCTTGCTTGGCTTGTTTTGTTTCTTTCATTTTTATTCTTTTGGACCATTAAGAAAATGAAAGTCATGGGGCTTAGCCCTCTTTCTCGATCCTGCTGGCCGTTTCACGCACTCCCCTGACTTCTGCAGGTCCCCATTTGGCCCTTGTGTTTGCAGCAGGTGGGGTCGGGGTGCAGGAGGAGCAGGAGAGAGTCTTCGGAGTCTGGCTTATACAGGAGACAGTTGTCTCACGCTGAGTAGAACCTCGCAAGTTATCACCGGAGGGAGACAGGGAAAGATGGGCGCGAGGTGTACCTTGATCGTGTTTTCTCAATTGCGGGGGACAGCGGAGCACACTGGGTTCAGATATTGCCCTAGCTTTCCAAAAAATTGTTTATATCTCTAGTGTTAGTGCTTTTTTCCTCGCATCTGGTCAGTTTTCATGGATAATGGTACAAATTTATGGAGTACAGTATCACAATTCAGTACATGTGTAGTGATCAAGTCGTGGCACCCAGCATTTCTGTCTCCTAACATGTTTTTGAGCTGTGATGAACACATCATGACTGTAGCTAATTATGATGTAGAGTGTGATGTTTCATCCTTATATGTAATGCCCCGCTCGAATCAGCGTAACTAGTGTTTCCGTTTCCTTATCACTGCTGTGTGTTTGGAGCCTTGCCCTGGCTCCTTTCTAGTTATCCATAAACATTTGTAATAGGGTGAACGATGTTCAGAAGACTTGACGCTTCTGCCTGTCTCCCTGGTACAGGGTCAATTTAATCTCTGTATCATTCCTGTTACAGTGTATGTGCTGTCAAAGCAAGTGCTCGACGTTAACTTTTAGCATTAAATATTACATGCTTGCTTGTAGCTTAATAATCCAGAGTTCTTGTTTTATAAATGAGAAGAAAGGCCACGCTACATCTGTTTGTAGCTGTGAGCTTGAGCCTGCACAGGAAATTGAACTTAAGAAGCAGCAAGGCCGCGCCTCTGGTTCCCACAAGCCCAACCTTACAGATGAAGGCACAGGGAGCATTGGGGAAAGGTGGGGAAAGTGACACTGGGCTGCTACTGTGCACCTGGACCCTACTTCTCTCCAGGCAAGAGCCAGGCCCTGGGAGGACTTTGTGCTTCCCACTTTGCAGGAGTTGCAGGCAGGTTGGGTCTTCCAAAGACAGCCTCTGCTTTGCAAACAGAGTGAGGACAAGGACAGCCTCTTCCTTCACCTTCTCCGTACCTGGGGGCCTTGCGCCTATTGGACAATGGTGCTTTTGTGTGAAAGCAGGAATTTCCCGGGCACCAGGCAGGGAGCAGTGCAGGTAGAGGCTTGCAGGGCTCAGGAACCCAGCCTGGGGCGGGAGGCTGCAGGAAATGGTGGCAACCTGGGGGTAGAGACTGTTGAGGGTGGCTGATTCTCCCAAGCACACTCAGGCAAAGTGCCAGTGAGCACACTGTCGTGGCACCCAGGACAGTGCCTCTGTGTATTTATTCTGCCATTGCCATGAGGGGCTTTGTGGCTTGTGATTTTCATGATCTCTGGATGGAAACAATGGAACACGGGGAGAGGAGAGAAATGCAAAGGTTGTCAAAGCAAGGGAAGCCGTGGTCTGAGGAAGCGAGCGGTGCCAGCGTGCGGGGAGCTGCCCAGATGCCCCACTGTGGCCCGTTTGGGAATGTCTTCCATATCGCACCAGCCCTGCTGGTGAATCCTGTTGTGGGGACCGGACAGTGTGAGTCGTGGGGAGTCCGAATACAATCTCCCTTCCAGGGGCCTCTGTCTTGTCTATGCAGAACCCCTGAAAGCCTGACCTTAGGTAGCTCACAGTCCCCAGCAGCAAAGCCCCCTGGCACTTTGGTGCCCCCGAAGCTCAGCGGTGGTCTCACGAGGACTTCAGAGCGTGCAGATTGGACCCTGGGAGCCCTGACATCTCAGAACCCATTGTCGGGCCATTGGGAAGCCCTGGCTGTCTTCACGGATCTTTGCATCCATTGCCATCTATCCTAAGCCACGGAATTTTAAGATCTCCTCCAGAGCCATTTTGATCTTTATTTGAAATTTGGATTTGCTCATCTTGGTTATTTTTAAATGAAAGACTATTCTTTCATGGTAATCTCAGGTTGGCAGCAAACTGAGAGGAAGGCACCGAGAGCTCCTGCAGGCCTTGTCTCAGTGCACCTGCGGCTCCTCTGGCCCTCACCGTGCACGCAGCGAACTACATTTGTAAGAACTGAGGATCCTCAGGCCGGGGATTTAGCTCAGTGGTTCTGCCACCTGCCTCGCAAGCACAAAGACCTGAGTTCAATACCCGGTACCAAAAAAGGAAGGAACTGAGGCTCCTATGCTGACACCTTCTACAGATTTGGACAAATTAGGATGCACATTCACCATTACCAGGCCAAGCGGAGTTTTCACTGCCCTAACATTCTCTGTGTGCCCTGACTTTTCACTTCGTCCCTGCCCGGCCCCTGGCAGCATCCAAGCTTTTTACTGTCACTGTAGTTTTGCCTCTTCCAGAGTGACCTGCAATTGGAATGAGACCGTATGTAAGCTTTGCGGATTGACTCCTTTCCCTCAGCTGCATTTCAGCTTCCTTCATGTCTTTTCGTGGTTTGGTAGCTCATTTCTTTTTAGCACTGAATAATATTCCATCGTAGACGCGTCACAGCTTATCCATGTGCCTCCTAAAAGTCATCTTGGTTTCCTCCAGATTTTGGCAGTTAGGAATAAAGCTGCTAAAAGCATCCGGCTGTATGTTTTTTTGTGGACAGAAGTTTTCAACGTCTCTGAGTGAATCCCAGCCAGCTCGATTGTGACAAGACTATGTTTTGCTTTGTTTCATAGTGGATTCTTGAATTAATTTTGAGTTTTAAAAACATTGCATTAAGATATTCTTTGCCGAGTCTGCTGAGGTTGGGGGCACTGCTCACACTGTGCAGGGCAAGCTCTGCCTTCCTGCTGTCACCCTCGGAGTGTCTGAGCCCCCCACTGCCTGGCTGAGGCTGAGTGAGGCTGGCAGGCTCGGGTCCCAGCCCGGACTGCACCCAAGTCCTTCCCTGCGTTGCAGGAGGCCTGGGACCCGGGGGTGGGGCTTGGATGGGGCAGAATCCTCACTCCCTGGAGGGCAGGAAACCTTCACCCACTTAGGGCTCCTGTGCCTGGAGGTAAACATTGCCTGCTTCTTCCTGATCCTGCTGGATGATCTGGTCTGGGAGGTGTGCAGGGACCGAGCGCGGCACCTTTACAAAGGCTATTAGAAGGCTGTATCCCAAAGGCGTATGTTGTGCTTACGTATGCTTACTATATATGCTATATTTAATATAGTGTGCGTATATATGTTTGTGTAGCCCATAGATACAAGTTGTCCTCTGAATCTGCCGGTTCCAGATACGCGAGATTCATCCCACTGCATATCAAAAATCTTTGAGGGCTGGGGATGTAGATCAGTGGCGCCACCGCCTGTCTGGAAAGCTCAAGGTCCTGAGTTCGATCCCCGTTCCAAAAAAAAAAAAAAAAAAAAAAGTCTTTGAAAAACAAATTATAGGGAATATTCACGCTTTCCTTTCCTTTCCTCGTCAGAATTCCCTAACAACCACACGCAGCAGTTCACGTGGCATTTACATTGTGTACAGTGTCATGGTCACCTCCAAATCATTCAGAGCCCACAGGAGGCTGCACACCGTGTATCGGGAGAATTATGCGGCTTTATGGAAGGGACTAGAAGCTCTCCGGGAGACCGCAGCAGATCCGGGGACGGTGGTACCGAGTACAAGATCCGAGCCCCTCCTTCGGAAGGGACGTGCTGAGTTTTAGGTCAGAGCCAAGTGACAGCAGGACGAAGTCCTGTCTGGTGCTGAGAACAGTCTCGGAGATTTCAAAAGCAGTGAGGTAAAGCGAGAGATTCGCACAGTGGCCCCATTTATCAGGTGACCAGGGTTCTCCCCTTCTCCCGGGTGGTGGGTTCCGTGCCTCTCCCATCTCCACCATCCAACGCCCAGCCCGAATCCTTTTTAGTGGCCTTTATGCCGTCTCTCCTTCTTCCTCTCTTCAGTGAAAACAGTATTAGGAGAAGGGCAGCCTAAAATACAGTGGGGAAACCACTTTCCAGTAGAGTTTGGTTTCGAGATAATTTCCATGAAAAACCGTCCCACTGCTATTGGGTCTGCAGCCCTAATGATGGAGTGGGCGCTTTTTCTTCGCGGTTC